GGGGGGGGGGGTAGGTGTGGCATTGCTCAGATACTAACTTTGATCCAAAACCCCATGGGAGATAAAAAGGTTACGGGGTTACCCGCCCCTTTAGTGCTCCTCTATCCAGCCCGTTGAACTTGCAAATGGATGAAACAGCCAAACAAGAGATTTTTTAAAACGTTTAGAAACAATTTTAGCTAGTAATGCCATTTTCTCTGACCTGGGCTAGTGCTTCTCTTCGATACGGTTTTCCTATCCTCTGAACTTGACGCATTTTCACTTTGTGCTGCTTCTAAATCTGTAAAATGAAATGCCCAAAATATATCCTTAGAAGAGTACGATTATCAATAAAAGAAACGACAGTCAAAGTCAAGTCAAATGACTGTAAATATACTGATGAAAATCATATATGTGAACTGCGGGTTAAGAAATGAATACCAAAGCGATCTTCGCAGTTATGAACACTATTCGAGCAGTGGTGAAAATAAGGCCTGAAAAAAATTCAGGCCTGTACGGGATTTGAACCCATGACCTTTGCAACACCGGTGCAGTACTCTACCAACTGAGCTAACAAGCCCACTAGGAGCTTGTCATTATAGTGGTTCGTAATAATCCCTTATAGGGGTGAAACGAAGTCAAGAAGTCATCACCTACATTTTCTGAGCATTTAAGAAAGGAGAGAACAACATGTAGCTAATATGTGGTTTTCTCACCATGGGGAAATTAACTAACGGCCCACCGAATCATACCTTTATTACTTCTGGAGGCCATTTTTTCTTCCACGTCTTCCTCTAAGCTCTCCTCTTGTTTAACCTCTGAGTATCCGACACGAGGTTTAGCTTTTGTTCCTGTGAGTAATATAAGGGCACACCCTTTAGCTCCCAAGATCTGATTGTTTATTCTCCCCTCCGGCTGCTACACATTTCCTTGTGACTAAGTTACGAGAATCTGGTTTTATATCAAGATAATAACTTCTACCTGATAAGTTTGAGTATTCTCATTACCTGTGTAGTGGATAATGTATGGATATCATAGGGGGAAGTTACACGTTAGTCACTTCTGGAAATTGAAGGATTGAGCCTTACTTAAATACTTTTTCGACTATCTTCCACTACGCAGTGTTACTTACGCTGGTTTGCCGCACAAAAACAGCTTGAACGCATGCACCGTCTGCACAGGAAACACTGTATACGAGAGAGAATACACTTGTCATCAAGCACCGATATGCACAAGACGATTGTCAGTAGGTTGAAGAAGTTGTAGTTACCAGTGAGAAGAATCAACAGTTGGAGAAAAACCTGACATGAAAATATGATAGATAGGTTAGCACCAAACTAAAAAGAATTCACTACAAACATTCCATCCCTTTGGGCGAAGTCCGCCGCACGAGTAAAAAAGAATTCAGCCAAAGTTAAAAAAATTGACGTTAGCACGCGCGGAACCTTTTTTTGCGCCTCACTTCCAGAGTTCCGGCGCGCTAAACTGAATTTTTTTTCGGTTTTGCTTACTCCCGCGACGGACTCCGCCTAAAAGGTGGGATTGGTCGTATTCTATGTGAAGAAAGGCCCTTTCGGATCAAATTTGAAAAAAGTCAGTTATAGCAGTATGTAAAGGCTCTATCTCAAAGCAAATTTCATCTGGGTGTGGAAAGTAATTCTGAATTTCTTTGCTTTTTGTTTCATTTCGCTTAATGATCAGTCTTCAAAACCCTGAATCATTCATTAACATCATGACAATGATCTATAAGCTTTATAGAAATTTTAGAAATTTTACAAATGTTACAGAAACCTTTCCCACCTCACTGCAATAAACAAACACGCGAAGAATTCTCACAGGAGCAAACGCCAGAAAAGGAATTCCGATCTCAATGACATATCTACAAAAAGAAATACTTTTGAACGCAGCAAGAACGATAACAGATGAAGAATTAACAACAGGCAGGAGAGTCTAAACAAACATATTACTTTTTCCCTTCATCTCATGGGTCCTCGCACATTTTTCTGCATTTTCACTCTGAAAGATAACACCATGTTGTTTTGTTTTCTTTTTTTTTTAATTCAATGGACGAGGTAAACGGGTACGATGGTCTTTTGCTCTTGAAGGAGCACGGTGACCTGTATTTTTGCTCAGTTTTGGTGTACAGATTATCCCCTTTAAATTGCAGAAACTAAAAAAAAATTATCGGAGGAAAAAAAAGATATAACTAAAAGCGTGCACGAAACCCGTTGCTCGAGGATGAAAATTATGACCTTGAAAGCAACGACTCGAGGAGCATTTGAGTCAATGTCATTTAAAATTGCGCGATTTTTTTCGCATATTAAATATCACATTAATCCATACGCTCGAGATTTCCTACCTCAAGTATTTTTCCAATTTTTACTAGAAAAACTCTTGCCCCTAGCTTCTGAAAAATGTGTCTTGAACCGATGAAATGGCGGCGTGATTAGTACCAGTACAGTCGTAAATGGGGTAAGATTGGCCCATCATATCATATCTTTTAAGCAAGCGCGGTGACCTATCTATTTTAATGTAGTTTTCGAAATAGACATTGGTAGGGAAATATTTGAGGAAATTTAAAGCAAATCGTTCGAGGATTTTTTTCCTGAGGAATCAGTTTAACAGCAACTGCACATTTTCCCAGACTTGCCGTGTTCTTGTTTTTGCTGCTGTTTTTCACTGTGGATTTATCATCATGCTAAAAAAATTACTCAAATATCAAATAGCAGTTTTTTCAATTATGTACTTACGTCAAAACCACACTGAGTCTATGGAACCAAACAGGAAGCTTCTGAAAGTACCACGCAACTGGTGTGGGTATGCACTAATAAAAAAGAACAACAGATCTCCTCAACCTTTTATCTGAATCATTTAGGCGTTGAAACTCATGAAAAACTGTGCTCTTAACTTCTCGCATGATCGTAAATAGGAAAAGTTTTGGACATGAGGTAAAAAAGGAACTATGACACTGTTTGGGCATCTTATTAACCTTTTAACTCCCAGCAGTGATTGACATGTAACTTCTCCTTATAATATTTAACAACTTATCAGGTAGAAGTTGTTGTCTTGATCTAACACCAAATTCTCGTAGTTACCGATATGGCGAGGATTGCTGAGCGCCGGGTTACATGATACGTCATTTTTTTCTTGTATATAGTCTTCTTGTAAATAGTTCTTGAAGTCTATAGTAGGTAAAATGTTATAGAAGTCTATCTAAAACGAAAATGAATTTAAGGTCGAGGACATGAGCTTGGCTATTTTTTTTTTTTAAAGAAATTCAGCTGAAGTTGTGTAGCAACTGAATGGGATAGACAGCAGTTCGTTCTGATCCTCTTCTTACTTGAGACTCGTAATGCCAGGTAAGTGCGCTTAGATCCCACCATGTTCTGTCCATGTATGTCAGTTTAACAACTCCTGAGGCAAACATCAGACGAAACAATAACCACTTAACCAGCCACAGGGTTACAGTGTCATGATGCCTTGAGATGCACCTACAATGAACAAAACCAAATCTTTGTTGGTAATTTCAAGTTGAAACAGTCAATTTAATGAGGTGAGAAAAGCGACTTGCTGAGTCAGTGACCGACTTACAGGATGATAAACTAATTGAATAGTGTCAGATCTGACTAAATGCTGACTTACTGTTCAACTGAATGACTGAATAGCTATGCCACTGAACTGTAAACTGTTTACCTCCCTGAAAGATGGGCTGAATGACTGACTGAAATTCTCACTGACAAACAGATTCACAGAAAAACTCTCTATGGCTAACTCACTGACTTGCTGACCTACTAAATCACTGATGGATTAACTACATGAATGAATGGCTGACTTCACACTTACCAACTAGCAGACCAACTGACTTAATGAGTGATCGACTATCTGACTAGATTTTTGACTGACCAGCTGGCTGACTGACCGGCTGATTAAATGACTGACTGATTGACTGACTGACTGACTGACCGACTGACTGATCAAGTGACTAACTAACTGATTGAACTAATTGAGTGACTGACTGATTGACTAGCAAACTGATAGAATGGCTGCCTGGTTGACTGACCAATTTGCTGACTGACTGAATGGCTGACTGGCAGATTGACTGACTAATTGATTGACTGAATGACTGACTGACTGACTGATGGACTGATTGATTAACAGGCTGAGTGACTGACTAGCTGACTGACTGACTTACTGGCCAACTAGCTGACTGAATGATTGACTGACTGACTGACTGACTGATTGATTAACAGGCTGAGTGACTGACTAGCTGACTGACTGACTTACTGGCCAACTAGCTGACTGAATGATTGACTGACTGACTGACTGACTGATTGATTAACTGGCTGAGTGACTGACTTGCTGACTGACTGATTTACTGGCCAACTAGCTGACTGAATGATTGAAAGACTTGCTGACTGATTGATTAACAGGCTGAGTGACTGACTAGCTGACTGACTGACTTACTGGCCAACTAGCTGACTGAATGATTGACTGGTTGACTGACTGACTGACTGTACCTGAGACGCCTGCACTTAAAGAGTGTTAGTTTCCCAATTTTCCAGGGTGCAAAAACAATGTTCCAGGGAGCAACCAGAAAGGCCAGAAATCCTGATTCCCACAACAGTGCATCCCTAGAAGCAGTAATATTACATGCCAAATTAGATCAATACTTAACATAACTAGAAATTGAACACTATCTAAATGACCTGGAAATTCATCTAGACATCCACTGCAACCCATTGCTAACACGCTCCTTGACCCTAAGGTACAGTATCAATTGTGTCCTCTGCATATTGAATTTCCATTAAATATTTGGTCCAACTGTAATTCTACCACTCGACACTGGTACCTCAAGTTTTCACAAACAAAACTACCTACCACTGGTACTGGATAAATATTTGACCAACCTGTAAAGAGAAATCATCCATTGATAAATAAGTAAATTTTAAGTGTAGGTCATACAAGCTTGAATTCAGACATATATCCATGGCCTTCTTTTTAGTTGCTGAGTTAAAACTGTTTCACTTTTTGACAGAACCACATGAAAAAATGGATACACTTGATCGTTTTCTCATACAGTTTGCATACTATATGCCAGTATGATCTATGCCTAATATCAACCAAGTCTAGTTTATATCTTTATTACCAATCATAGGTGGTGAACTTTATGAGAATCTAAGTATTTAAAAGTAAGATGCATTAGGCAAAACTTAAAAACTTAAGGAAAGATGACATTAATGAGGTTTTGTGATCTAAATAAAATACAGGCAGAAGAAAAGATGCAGGCAACATGGAAGCAATAATATGTAAAGAAAATTAAGGAGAGTGGAAAGAGAACTCACTGGTAACATAGAGTAGTACAAAAACCACAGCATCAGGAAAGCTAGGCAGTCACGGCATCTTTGGGACACAAGGAGAACCAGCGAAAGTAAAATGCCAATGACACACAAGAACTCCATCCCTGTGGGTGTGTCCAGTCCCAAATATGGTGTCACCCATAAAAGAGTGGGTGTGGTCTTGAACAATCCACTAAAGGATCTGTCCAGTGCTACCAAGAGAAATGATCAGTACTCCAGGTGAGCAAACTACTTTGAATAGGATAGATAAAAAGTTGATTTAAGATAAACATTTTTCTGAGAGACTCTGAAAAAGAATTGTGATGACAAATTTTAATGTAATTCAAAGTCATGACAACAAGCAAGTTACCATGGCAACTGTTACAAGACTTCATGCAGTTCTCAATCATCCACCCCGTGTTTGCGATACACTCTCCTGACGAGGCCCACAATGGACAAGCAGCACTTTTATCTATGCATGATGACACTAACAAGACAACAAATTTAACAGGAAAATCAAAAACTGATGTCACATAATAGCCACTGTTATCACAGCAACTTCCCTGAAGCTGAAGCATGATGAATCTACCATTAAAAATCCACATTACTTACAGTCGTGCAAAATGTAACTTGCAGGGAGTAGGCCATCATGTCCATAGAGACCTGTTTGGAATGTATTCAGAAATACTGTTTTTTTTTTTTTTAAAGTTTAAAATCAGACCCATCAAGATTTGGCACTATGTATGTTAGAGGCCCTGTAAGAGGTGATTTGGCTACTCATTTGCTGGAAAAGGTAATAGAGGTTTTGCACAGCAGCCATATTGGATGGCAGGAACAATGAAAATATTTTGCATAAGAAAGAAAATTTTTTCCCATGGGTAAAATAACCTATTGTTCCTGCCATCCAACATGGCTGCTGTGCAAAACCTCTATTAAGGTAATACCATTATTTAGTTTCCATGGGGGAGGGGGGGTAGAAGTTTTTTTAAGAAATCCCCACACAGACAGAGATCTCCCTCCAGCTCCTCTTCACCTCAGAATTAAAATGGTTTGTCCATATGTGGGTTTGGCATGCTATTATGGATTCTTCTGGAGATCCATCATTAATCCATAAAAGTAGACCTCTTTAGCGTGTATGATTTATTTACCCACTTCAGGTCACGTGATAACACCGTAAAGAACTGTTTCTTTCAATTCCCTTTAAGACCTGGAATGGCTAATTAAAATTAACAAAACGTGCAAGCTAAAGAGATCTATTGTTGACAACGGTGGTAGAAAAATAAGATCAGAAAAAGCAACTGACCTGGTATTTGGACGTAAAGAGAGGTGAAAGCAAATAAATAGATGGCTGCCATGCACCAGAGAAAGCCCTGTCTTACAACCTGTTGATGTTGCTTGGAAGATTTTAAGTCTGAAGCCATTCATCGCTTACTCGCTTAGCCCGCGCAATAATTTTATGTCCTCGATTCAAGGTTTTTTCCTATTTTGATGATATTTCGCTTGTGTTCTGAGAAAAAAAACACGAAAGGAGAAGACAAATTTCACTTCAAATTGGGCGCCAATGACCACTTAATCTTGAAAGAAGAAGCAAAACAACAACCTGTCGACATTGTAAAGTGGCTATCAGCTGTTTTTCGTGTAATTTACATGACATACTCTAACAGTACTCGGCCCCAGGTGCGCAGGGGAAATCCAACATGGCAGGTTACGGGAAGCAAATTCTCGTACGGGACGTGTATTTGTGGTCCATATCTGCCATCTATCTCTTTGCGTTTGCGTCTCTCTACATACAGATTCCAGGTAGATTGTACATATATGGTTGGAACTGTTAATTTTTTAGCGTAAAGGCGTATGAAGTTTGTTGATCTATTTTGTGTGTAGGTCTTTATGGACAGAACGGCGTTCTTCCCGCTAAGCTTGCGTTAAGGGAAGGTAAGAAATCTGTTAATTGTTAACATCTTTTGGTCGTTGATGTTAAGATTAAGCTAAGATGCTACCTTATTTCGCTCAGGGGGACTGGAGTGCGAGCGACTCCTTTACAATTTTTCCACGCGCCAAAATCACTGAATGGGCCATTGTTTTAATTTATTTTGATTTTTGTGAAGAAATCATTGCACGTGGTACTTGGTAACAGCGTCTTGTATATTTTCATATATTTTTAAATTTTCTGTCTCGTCAAAGGAGTCTCAGGGATTTGCGCACATCCCGATACTTAGTGTGCAACAGTTCTTAGATATAAAGAAAACAGTTGCAAAATTAATAGATTGCCTTTGGGACTACAACTTTGCTCTAGGATATGTATGGGATGATACAGAAATCTTTCCATTCTCAGTTCAACCAGCACTTGAACCCCTTATCTCCCATGACTGACCAAGACAGAATTTCTCCTTACAATATCAATACAATATCAAGCAAACAAGTAATGAGAATAAAGAAAATTATCACTTAGTGGTTTATTAGGTGATCCAATACCAATTTCTTTGAACCAGCAATGTAAGAATTGTATGGCAGACTGTAAGGAGAACCACTGATATGATCTTGGGAGTAAAAGAGTCAATTAACGCTTTGACTCTCAATCGTATTGATGTTGTCTCGGTTTTAAGAACAGAGAGGCATATCAGCTAGAGGGAGTTACCTTGATATATGTCAGTACCGTAGCACATATATCTTATTAACCAAATGCGAGGGCCGTACTGGGAGAATATCAGCATGAGGTCTTGACAGTACGGACCAAGCGTAGCGAGGTCTGTACAAAAAGACAGAGGGCCGATATTCTTCCAGTACGATCTCGAGTAAGCTTGGTTAATAAGAGATTTATTATATGACTGAAGTTCAAAGGGACACAAGTGTGGTATCATTCGGGACCATTCGGGACAGTGCCCGGTCCAATACTGAGAGAATATTGACTGGCAATTGAGCATTTTGATTGGTTGACTTTAGTTATTGGCCCTCTGACTGCCCGAGTCGAGTAATAATTATGTTTATTCACAACTGATTTAACTTGACGAATGTTGAAAACTCGTACATTGGCCGCATGGCCTCGGTCAATGAATATAAGCGAAAGTGAAAGTAAAAGTGAAAGGTTTTC